GCTCTGACGTCCTGGTTCCTGGGTTTTCTGCGAAAATAAAATACTCGTCACGTATCAAAATACCGCAAGAATGCCAAAATAAATATTTTTGAACTTTTTTGGCCAATTTAGGGTTCCAGCACGACGATGGTTCCTTTCGGCCTGACTGTTTTTGGCTGGTTTTAGCTAATTTTGGCTTATTTTGCATGGAAACCTGCAAAAAACAAGATCAAGGGGCCTCTGTCAGCCAGAAAAGGGAAAAATCGAGACTCTACCGGCAGAGAGGTCTCCTGGTGCAGCATTGCGGTTGGGGTTTTCATTCGACTAACATGCACTAGAAAGAAATGAGGAACACAATGGTAAAAAATCGAGAGAAACGAAAAATGGAAAGGGCTTATCAAATGAGGTTTTCAGTTTTGATCGCAACGGCTCGATCGAATTTCGCTTGCAGTTTTCAGCTCACCCATCAGTTTTTCAGCTTCGATAGGGGCATAGGGATGCTCGAGATTTAATTTTGAGTGGATGGGAGAAAAATCTTGCCTTCTTGGCATCGGCGATGGCTCCGGTGTAGCAGCGACAATGGCCAGTCTCCTTCTTCGGCATCTGGTTTACTTCCCGGCCGCCCCTCTTCTTCTTCTCCGATCATCTTTCTTTCAACTAGGGTTTTGGTTCCCTGCGAAAAGGAGTTTAAATACTCTTGTTCATTAAATCTGAGTCGTCTATTTAAGGCAACGTGGTCCATCATCAACCGTTAGATCTCTTTTATTTGGGAAATTAATTTGGGCCGCACGACCTGATCAAATCCAGCTGTTCAATCGCGGTTGAAGAAAAAATGCATCTGGATCGTCCGTGCGCGTTGGATGCAATGTGGGCCATTGGATTTGCTGATACGTGGATCAGCCGCGCGACCTCTTGCGTGTAACTAATGTCAGCATGTTTGCCATGTGATGCATTTTGACTCATCGTTGTTGTTGACGTGGCCGTCCTACCTTTTTGCAATTTGACCCCTTGTTTTAATTTTCCTTTCAAAAACACCCCCCCTTATTTACAATTTCTCCAATTTTTTCAAAATTGTTTTCAATTTCATCCCCAAATTCATTTTTCTCAAAAAATTTCATAAAAATAAAAGAGTAAGTTATTTTAAATAAATTAACTTATCAATGTAAAATTATCCCGGTACAAATTTTTCAGCTCGGGTGTTACAGCCGTTTTCGACTCAAGCATGCAACCGACGACTTCGTGCTTCCTCCTTTCTCTGTCTTCATCATCTCCCATCAGTCGTCATCATCTTAACTTATCATCATCATGCCTCAGCCTCGCCATCACCATGCTAGGGGGGAAACTGGAAAAGAAAAAACTGTAAGTCCTAGGCCTGTCTGTTTGTTGACGCATAAGGGAAAGAGAAGGATTTTTAAAAATCTTCCTAAAACCGCGATGCTTGGGTGAAAAATTCAACAATTTCCCTAAACGTTGCCCATTTTAGGTCTGGCTAGAAAAGGAAAAAGAGAAAAAGAAGGTAAAGGGAGAGTGGGTTAGGGCTTTGGATTTAATTAATTGCTTTTTCTTTTTTTTTTTTTTTTATATTATATATTTTTATCTAGAGTAAATTAAGTTGTGAATGGGTTTATGAATAATTTATAATCTTTGGATAAAAATCTAATATTTTTACTAAGTTGCCTTAATTTTCAATCTATACGGAATCTTCAATGCTGAAATCATTTTGCTAGGCTAATTGGTAAAATTTTGTGATTTTCATTGATAATATATCTGCAACAGAATATATGGAGATGATACCTAAATAATTATTTATACAACTAAAAATACTAATATTATTTTTTAAGATTTACAGAAATAATCACTGATACAATTAAAAATGTATTATAAAAATTAAAAGAAGTACAAGGTGTTGAAGGATAAAATTTATATACGACTCTGATTTAATCAACTGGGAGGGTCCATCCCTTATTGTCTTCAAGAATGCCTGTTTGAATCCCAGTAAGCAAAATGCGTAGTTTATAAGAGACTGTATCTTCTCCTCTTTTATACTCAACCCTGCATTTTATGTTTTTCAGAATTTCTTAGAATTTTACTAAAAAATAAAAATAAGTGTTGGTATTATTTTTAGCTACACTTACTTTTTCTCATTATAGGTGACACTACTAACTGGAGTGATAATCACAGCAGTTCCACTGGTAAATACTTCTTCAGCATCCATTAATTCCTCCACAGAAATGTCACATTCCTTCACCTGCATTACCAAATGTATTACATATGTATATATTATTACTACCTATATTTATATACACATACAGTATATATAAAAGGAAAACTTAATTACCTGATAACCCAAATCAAGAGCAATTTCTAGGACGCTTTTTCTTGTGATTCCAGGTAGAATAGTCCCTTTCAATGTTGGGGTTGAAATAACATTTCCCTACAAAGAAAAAGAAAGTTTTAAACTTTTAAAAACATTTTATGTATAGATACTACTACTCTCAAATCTGTTTATATTGTGAGGTTATTGATTTATATGTATTTGTATATACCTTGACAATGAATATATTGCAAGAGGAGACCTCCTCAATGTATTTTCCAGTTGATGCATCTAAGAATAAAATATCAGAGTATCCATTGGCTTTTGCTTGATTTACAGCTTCGAAAACCTGCATCAAATATTGTAATTAAAGATATCAGTGATGAAGTTGAATCTATATATCTTGCACTCACTAAAGATCATGTATGTATTTAATGCTTACAGGTGCATAATTGGTGATACTCTTCACGTCTCCGCCTCCACCTGGACAGGCGCGGTGGACCTCATCGTTGATAAACAAGTTGAAAGAACTTTGCCCCTGTTCAACAAGATCATAAATCCATAGAATTGAAGATGATTAGTGGCTAGCTAGGCTGCATTTGTCAAAATTAAATTTTACATGCAGTAAAGTAATTAAACAAATTAAAGGATAGTACTTAACTTGCTTATATAATCCAGCAAGAATCTAAGTGTACATATATATGTATATACCTTGTAATGGTTGGCAATAGGAGAAGCAAATATCAGAAAAGTATATTCAGGTGCAGGTGCAATGCCAAAAACTGATCCAGTTCCCATTAGTAAAGGTCTAAGGTAGAGTGTCCCTTTTCCATGGGGAGGCACCTGCTTGTTATAATTCATCATACATTTCATAACTTCAATTTATTTTTTGTATACGTATACACATATACAAACATGGATATAAATAAAAGCATATACATGTTTATACCCAGTGCTTGTTGGCAAGAACCATTTGTTTTACAGCATCAATAAATTGCTGGACAGATGGTGATGGCATGTACAATCTCTTGGCACCCATTTGCATCCGTAGAGCATTTTGATCTGGCCGAAACAGTAGAATTTCACCATTTTCTTTTCGATATGCTTTTAACCCTTCAAACAATCCCTAAACCCGACATGAGACCAGAACAATCAATCTTCATCATTTCTTTCAGAATATATATAAAATTGACAATGTTAATAATTACTATGTCTGTGTTTTTATAAATATTTGGTTTTTATTCATAAGTAATCAAAATTAAGGGAGGTTGTTAATAATTATTATGTTTACCTGTCCATAATTTAAGATTGATGCAGAAGGGCTAATCTCTATGTTTCCGTAAGGTACAAGCTTTCCTTGTGAGAAGTTTTCTCCACTACGGCAATTCATAATATACATATAATCTGCTGGATTCAAATTGAATCCAAGTTTATTCCAGTCGAAATTAAAAGAGGATTCTTGAGGTGCCATCAATGCTAGCTTTTGCCTGAGGAAGACTTTGCTTCTTGGAAATTACTGTAATTAAATCGGAGACATGATTAAGTAATCACTACTTTCTTAATAAACCATTAATTAAGTCTCCTAATTAATCAATTAAACATCTGAACTAACTGAGTTTAAAATAAAATAAAAATAATTATATTGTTTACATATTTAACAGGAGCTTTAATTTTTATAATAACCTTCAAAGCCTTACCATAAAAATACAAGATCGATAAACAGTGATAGGATGACACACCTTACAAAAAAAGATTCGAGCAAAGTTTACGAAGTTGTGCGCTCGCACGTGTGTGTGTGTATATATATACTTATGTGTTAAACATATACAGAGAGAGAGAGAGAGAGAGAGAGAGTATTAGAGAAAATGATGAAAGAACTGGGTTTATTTAAAGGTCGAGAGATGCAGTAATTCCCGAGTTATAAGGTTGAAGTTTATCGAAGAACTCGTGGTGTGCGTATACACACACACACATGTATATATATGCATATAATGCAAGCACCTTATCAATGTAACTCCTGAATTCTCTTAAATTTAGAAATCTGGGCTGTAATTGACACCCGAAAAAGGAGCCAAAACTAGCTAGTACTGGAAAAACAGTTAAAATTAATATTTATAGACAAATTAACCAGTACAGGAAGATTACATTGCATGCCAAGCTGCTAAAACAATTTTTTTTTTGTTTTCTTTTGTTGTCTAGACGACAGAGAGGTTGTCATTTTAACAAACCCAACGATATGGCTCTCTCTCTCTCTCTCTCTCTCTCTCTCTACATATATATATATACATAACAGATATCTACACAATTTTATAATATTATAATTTACAAATTTGTTTTAAATATTGTTTCATTTTCTGAAGATGATACATATAATTCTTAAGACACGAAGTTCTGTTAAACAAAGTTCTACTTCACTTGTCTCCTATAAATACTAATATTGATACCCTAAGAAAATTTAAAAATAATCAGATTAAGTTATGTCTCCTAATTATTAAATATTATACAAAATTTCATTTTTAGTTTACATAAAAAAATTCCAGGTATATGTTAATAATTACATCATTACATGGTTTGGTAATTATATATGAATAAGTTGATATATCTTATATTGATTTATTATGCCTACACCTCTGATAATATTATGCAAAAAAAATATAATTTTCTTTTTCAACTAATATAAACTTGGAAAAAGGAAATGACTAGAGGACTGGTGGCCGTGTTCCTGCCGTGTTGAACCTGTCAGATGGAACGGCGCCGTTGCTGCCTTCGCGTAGGCCGTAACTACGTCTACACCTCTAACTCATGCATGGACCACGAGTGCCTGCGTTATACTCCGGTATTTGGCAGAAGTCACTTCATCTTGGGAGCGCCAAAGTTAAGTGCCGTTATGATCAGCCGGGAAACATACGGGGTCAACGCCCTTATCGACGGTGGCTCAATACATACACACACACACACTAATCTTTGTACTAAACTACGTAATTGACCGCAACTTCATTATTACATACTAATAAGGTTTAAATAACTTCTAGATTGAGAAGTACTTGGATGTCTTACGTATTGCTGCGTGTATGTGTGTGTATATCTCGTGTGGATACGGGATAAATGATAGTTTTGTTTGTATATATATTTTTCATTTCAATAAAATTATTTTTACTTTTCTAAACCATTCCTCGACCCCAGCAGTAACACTTTCATGTGTTTTAAACCTTTTTTTCTGGATCTTCTTGAATCCCTTACCATGAAACACTTCATATACCAGATGCTCCTACTTGTCACTCTCCATTTGAGCTCCTATTTCTTAATATTTTATTATTTTTTTAAAAAAATTCAATTGAGTTAAAAATTATTACAATTAACGGTTAATTAATTCCTTTAATTTTGATAAGATAACTTATTAATGTTTTTGTTTCTCTCCTGATGAATTCCAATTCATTGATCTTTCTTCTTCCTAAAATCGTTTAATAAAAGATTTTTATATTATTATCACTATTGAAAAGGTATATATTTTCTATTTCACATTCTCAAACCTTTCTTTTTGCCATCCTCCCATCTTAGTTTCCAAAAACTTCAATTTAAAAGCAAGCTTAAAACACGCATTACACTCAAATTCCCCTCATTTTCTATAAACAAAATCCTCAAACTCTTTTTCTCTAATGATTACATTATAATTCTAACGTCCCGATACTCGATATGAGATGTAATTTCTGCTCATATCATTTTCATGCAGTGAGCCCACAAAATATATACATGCATAGATAAAAAAATATAATATAACATAACATTACATGTAATATATATAGTAACTATATATATACAATATGTGGTAAAAAATTTAAAGTTTAATAGAATAAAATAAATTTTTTGAATATCCACAAATATACAAAATAGGAACCTTTTTATAGGTTCTATTTTTCTGGTAGTGGTTCTGACTCTTCTTTCTCATCTGAAAATATCATA